TGGCAGGATACAGTCAGTTAATGCCTCCCGGCATTACATAGCTACGAGATCCAATCAGATTACGTCTCATTGCCCTATGCTTCTAAAACCTGATCCAACCCCTAGCCTCCAGGAGACACTGTTTTGGGAACTGTCCCCAGTATTCACCTTATTTGGGGCAAGTAATAAAAATCCCCTTGTTAAATTCTCCTTGATTGTGGTTATAGGGTTAACACTTACCAAGTGACCAAACCCACTCATTGTGGTAACAAAAGTACACCAGGTCTCAGTCCTGTTTGACTATTAGAAAGGATATTCTGACACTGAGCCAAAGTTTACTTAACTTTTAATTTTGCTCTTTAGTTCCATTTTTCTACCCATATCAAGCCTCCGAAGCTTTTGACATATCTTACCTTCAGCTCTCATGTTTTTTTCAAAGGAGAATTTTCAGTGACCCTGAGTAGCGTGCAAGAAATGGCAAGTTTGGACATGGGTCACGTAATTATTGCCTAGGAAGTTCTCAATGGGGCTGAGAGGAACATCTGGAACAATTAAGGTAATAATACAAACTTCAAGGAGAACCATCCATCATGTCAAGAAAATCTAAACCACAATTCTTCAGGATCCAGATTTATGTTAACAATACAAATCATGCAGCTGTAAACATCTTTGCAAACATGTTAGAGAGAGTAAGGTGAGTCTCCTTGGAGAACTATTAAGGTAGTTGTTTGAAGGTAATATGTGGCTATGACATGACACAAAGGCCCAGAAATTTCCTGAAAGAAACAATAATCAGTTCAGGGCTACAGCGAGCTATAAATATTCCACATCACATCATGCTGTGTCTGGAAAAAAAAAGTCTTGACTTACCAGCATCCAGGTTCCTTTTTTATGTAACTTTCTCAACATAAATGGTCAGGCATTTTATAAATAGTTGAGACATTCAAAAATAGAGAGAGAAACTTAAAGCTAGGACTTCATGAAATCTCCACATAGGGAAATGGATGGCTTACATGTCTCTTTTTTACCTATGTAAACATGACTGTAATATGCCAGTGAGCACTAAAAAGAGAAGCAGTTTGTATTTAAAGAAAGCGAAGAGAAAACAAAAATACAAATCTTCACCTTGAAATGATGATGAAATCTGTCTTTCATCACCAATAGAAAAGAGCCCAAAGTTAGGAATCTCCTCTTCAGACCTGAGGGCTTATTTGTTTTAATTAAATTTGTAATTTTTAAAAGGACCTTCATGCTTGGTACCAAAACACAGGGAATATACAAGGCCCCATATGACACTTTATGGTTCTCTCCAATTTGTAGATCATGGAAAAAATAAGCTTTTATTGCAGGTGAGTGTCTCTTTAAATCACACATCATTTTCACACTAAGGATAGCCTGGGCAGAGAAAAAAACTGCTGCAGAGAAGTTGTAAATTAAATTATGTTTAAAAAGATTTCATCTTTCTCAAACATTTATCGAGCACCTACCATGAATTAGGCACTATGGTAGCCACTAAATATACAGAATCACAATTCATATGATTACAAAGCTCACAGCATAGTAAAATAGACAAAAGCTATAAATAAGTTCTTATAGTACACTGACAGTATTGTTATGGACTGATCAAATGCAGTGCTCTAGGAACCCAGAGAATATGATGCTTGGAGAATTGAGTCACCGAAGAAATGATGCTGTTGCAGACTCTTGACAAATGATCCGAATTTGGCCGGGAGAAAAAAGAACACTCCAGACAGAAAGTAGTAGATTTGTAAAGGGCACAGAGACCTGAAATAAAATTGTGTGTTGAAAAAATATAACGTGATTTTGTCTGCTGGGTTGCATAAGGCACAAAAAAGGAAAAAGATGTTCCATACATTAAAAAAAAAAAAAAACAGAAAGATGACAGTGTGGGTAGAGCATATTGATGAAGAAAGCGAGAAGAAAGATGAGTATACACAAATGGGCAGGGGGCAGATCATAAAAGGGCCTTTATAACCACAATAAGGATTATGAACTTCCATGAGAGCAGTAAGAAGATCAACTAAGAATATTAAGCAGGGGAGTGAGACAATCAGATCTGTATTCTATGACAATGACTGGCTTCAGTGAGGAGAACAGATGGAGGATGGCATGAGTGAAAATGGGGAGGCCTATCAGGAATCTACGTTAACAGTAAAGGCCAGAGCATTTAAGAATCTAAACTAGAGTGGTAGTAGGAATGAAAGAGTAAAAAGATTACAGTACAATCATCAGCATTTAATATGGTCAGCCATTTTAATTTTAGCCATTTAGTAAGTATGTAATGGTATTTCACTGTGATTTTCATTTGCATTTTTTTTGGAAAAATGACTGTTGGATGTCTTTTCATATTCATACTGGCCATTTGTATATCTTCTTTGGTGATTTGTCTGTTCAAATTCTTTACCCATTTTTTTAGTAAGACTGTTTTCTTATTATTGTTTTGAGAGTTCTGTATATATAGATTGGTGCAAACATAACTGTGGTTTTTGTATTATTGGAATTTACTATTTGATATTGGAATAATTATTAAATAAATGTGGTTATGTTCTATATCATTTTAATGGGCATTTCTCACTTTATGTTTTTTGCTAATGGCTTACTACTTGCTGTTTATTTCATGTTTACTTTAGACCATGGAATTGATGTTAGACAGAAAGCAAATTAGAGCAATTTTCTTATTTGAGTTCAAAATGGGTCGTAAGGCAGTGGAGACAACTCACAATATCAACAATGCATTTGGCCCAGGAACTGCTAATGAATGTGCAGTGCAGTAGTTATTCAAGGAATTCTGCATAGGAGATCCGAGCCTTGAAGATGAAGAGCGTACTGGTCAGCCACTGGAAGTTGACAACCACCAGTTGAGAGCAATTGTCAAAGCTGATCATCTTACAACTACACGAGAAATTGACAAAGAACTCCATGTTGACCATTCTACATTCCTTTGGCTCTTGAATCAAATTGGAAAGGTGAAAAAGCTTGATAAGTGGGTGCCTCATGAGCTGAGTGAAAATCAAAAAATCGTCATTTTGAGGTGTCATCTTCTCTTATTCTATGCAACAATAATGAACCATTTTTCGATTGGATTGTGACATGAGATGAAAAGTGGATTTTATATGACAACCAGCGGTGACCAGCTCAGTGGTTTGACCTAGAACCTTCAAAGCACTTCCCAAAGCCAATCTTGCACCAAAAAAGAGTCATGGTCACTGTTTGCTGGTCTGCTGCTGGTCTGATCCATTACAGCTTTCTGAATCGCAGCGAAACCATTACATCTGAGAAGTATGCTCAGCAAATTGATGAGATGCACTGAAAACTGCAACACCTGCAGCTGGCACTGGTCAACAGAAAGGGCCCAATTCATCGTCATGACAACGCCCGACCACAGGTCACACAACTAACACTTCAAACGTTGCATAAATTGGGCTATGAAGTTTTGCCCCATCCACCGTATTATCCTGACCTCCGGCCAGCTGGCTACTCCTTCTTCACATATCTTGAAAACGTTTTACAGGGAAAACTCTTCCATGACCAGCAAAACGCAGAAAATGCTTTCCAAGATCCTCAAACCCCAAAGCACAGATTTTTATGCTACAGGAATAAACTTATTTCTTATTGGAAAAAAATGTGTTGATTGTAATGGTTCCTATTTTGATTAATAAAGCTGTGTTTGAATCTAGTTATAATGATTTAAAATTCATAGTCTGTAACTTCAATTACTTATGCACCAACCTAATATATGGAATACAAGTTTTTGATGGGTTATGTGATTTTTCAATTATTTTCTCCCAGGCTTTAACTTGTTTTTTCATTCTCTTAACAATGTCTTTTGGAAAGATTTTTAAATTATTTTGTTAAAGTCCAATCAGAAGAAAGCAAAAATACCTAGCGACCATTAAGCAGTCCCTGGAGACAAGAACTCTTTATCAGATGAATTTAGAAGTAATTCAACTTCCCTACTATCTAAAGACACCTGATTCCAACCCTCTTTTCAACTGAAACTTTATAAGTAACTAGAATTTCTATACATCTCTGGAATGCATGCATCCCAAAACGCACCGTGCAACCTTTGAACTTTGTTGACATTAAGGCACCAAAATGTCTACAAATGTAATCACTTATTGTGCAAATTACCCTTCAACTCCCACATGGAGGTCCATAAATAGCTCTAAGGAAAAGTCCACAGTGGCTTGCTCAGTCCTCTCACTGAGGCGCCCCACTGCACTCTCCTGCAGCATTCTTTCTTTCTAATAAAATGTTCCTTTTTCAAAACTATACAGTTGTCAGTACATTCTTCTTACCAGCCCACAAGTCAACCACTTTCCAATGCCAGAGCTCTGGCACAATCAATTCTTTTGTATGGGCTTTATGTTTTAGTATCATGTCTGAGAAATTGTCTAACATAAGATCACAAAGATGTCCTTTCATGCTCTGTTCTAGAAGTTTCATAGTTTTAACGTTTACAATTAGGTTTATAGTTCATTTTGAGTTAATTTTTATACATGATATAAGAAATAAATCCAAGGATTTTATTTTCTTCTTTTTTGGCATATGGATATCTAATTGTTCCTGTACCATTTATGGAAGAAACTATCAAATCGCCACAGCATTGCTTTGTATTTTTGTTAACAGTCAGTTGTTTATATGAGTATGTGTTTATTTTCCAGCTCTGTATTTTGTTCCATTGATGCATTTGCTTACCTTTGTGACAATACCGTGTTGTATTGCTTGATGCAGCTTTATAATACATCTTGAAATCTGATAAAATCTTACAGCTTTGGTCTTTTTCAAAGTTATTTAGGCTACTCTAAATCGTTAGCATTTCTGTATGAATTTTACTGGCAGCTTGTGATAGCTGCAAAATGTTTACTTGGCACTTGATAGAGTTTGCATTGAAGCTATAGATGAAGAAACAAAGAAATAACACCTTGACAATATTGAGTCTTCCAATCCATGAACACAGAATATCGTTCTATTTAAAAAGCTCTTTTATTTATTTTTTATTTTTGGCTGAGCACAGGGGACTTTATTGATGGTACATGACAAGGTGGGGCTCCGGAGGCCCCTCCCTCTTCAAGGGGTCTGCATGGAAACTGTGAGGAGGGGCAATTCAGTGTGGTGGGGGACTCAGTGTGGCAGGGACTCCCCAGCAGTGAGGGCCTCTCTTCCTCTCGTGCTCTCGCTGGGGCTGGTGGTCCAGGGGTCTTACTCCTTGGAGGCCATGTGGGACATGAGGTCCACCACCCTGTTGCTGTAGCCAAATTCATTGTCATACCAGGAAATGAGCTTGACAAAGTGGTCGTTGAGGGCAATGCCAGCCCCAGGTGGAAGAATGGGTGTCGCTGTTGAAGTCAGAGGACACCATCTGGTGCTCAGTGTAGCCCAAGAAGCCCTTGAGAGTGCCCTCCAACACCTGCTTCACCATCTTCTTGATGTCATCATATTTGGCAGGTTTTTCCAGAAGGCAGGTCAGGTCCACCACTGACACGTTGGCAGTGGGGACACGGAAGGCCGTGCCAGTGAGCTTCCTGTTCAGCTCGGGGATGACCTTGCCCATGGCCTTGGCAGCACCAGTAGAGGCAGGGATGATGTTCTGGAGATCCCCAAGGCCATCACGCCACAGTTTCCTGGAGGGGCCTTCCACGGTCTTCTGGGTGGCAGTGATGGCGTGGACGGTGGTCATGAGTCCTTCCACGATACCAAAGTTGTCATTGATGACCTTGGCCAGGAGCGCTGATCAGTTGGTGGTGCAGGAGGCATTGCTGACGATCCTGAGGCTGTTGTCATACTTCTCATGGTTCACGCCCATCACAAACATGGGGGTATCAGCAGAGGGGGCAGATATGATGACCCTTTTGGCTCCCCCCTGCAAGTGAGTCCCAGCCTTCTACATGGTGGTGAAGATGCCAGTGGACTCCACCACGTACTCAGCGCCAGCATTGCCCCACTTGATTTTGGAGGGATCTCACTCCTGGAAGATGGTGATGGGATTTCCATTGATGACAAGCTTCCCGTTCTCAGCCTTGACAGTGCCATGGAATTTGCCATGGGTGGAATCATACTGGAACATGTAGACCATGTAGTTGAGGTCAATGAAGGGATCATTGATGGTGACAATATCCACTTTACCAGAGTTAAAAGCAGCCCTGGTGACCAGGCGCCCAATACAACCAAATCCGTCGACTCCAACCTTCACCTTCCCCTTGGTGTCTCAGGGATGTAGCTGGCGATGGGAGACAAGATGCAGCTGTCTGTCGAACAGGAGGAGCAGAGAGCTAAACAGCTCTTTTAAAAAAATTCTTTAATCACTGCTTTTGTTACAGGAAATACGGGTCCCAATTCAGACCCCAAAAGAGGGTTATGGGATCTTGTGCAAGAAAGAATTCAGGGTGAGTCCACAGAGTAAACTGAAAGTAAGTTTACTGAGAAAGTAAAGGAATAAAAGAATGGCTACTCCATAGACAGAGCAGCCCCAACGGCTGCTGGTTGCCCATTTTTATGGTTATTTCTTGATGATATGCTAAACAAGGAGCTGGTTATTCATGCCTCCCATTTTTAGACCATATAGGGTAACCTCCTGACATTGCCATGGCATTTTTAAATTGTCACGGAACTGGTGGGAGTGTAGCAGTGAGGATGATCAGAGGTTACTCTTGTGGCCATCTTGGTTTTGTTGGGGTTTGGCTGCCTCCTTTACTGTAACATGTTTTATCAGCAAGGTCTTTATGACCTGTATCTTGTGATGACTTCCTATCTCATCCTGTGACTTGAAATGCTTGAACCATCTGGGAATGCACCCCAGTAGGTCTCAGCCTCATTTCAACCAGCTCCTATCCAAGATGGTGTTGCTCTGGTTTACACATCTCTGACATTTCCCCCCTCCCTTTTATAAGAGAACTCTTAATCCTAAGGGTTGTAGAAGGAGGAGGATTCATCTTCTGTAACTTCTTCATGCTGAATAAGGGCAATGATATTGAGTAGTAGGAAGTTAGTCAGAAAGCATCAGTATGCTGAAGGGCATTCATAACTCTTGAATTCCAACAAAAGGTGATATCTGGAAGACTAGTAAGTATTCAGTTGAAGAAAATGTTGAGAAAGCTTATTCTTATTCCTATTCAAAGAATACAATAGCAATATATTTTGCAACAATAAAACAAAATAAGTAAAATTATTCCAAGTAAAATAAATTAGAGGGATTTCCAAGAACTGGGCAACTGTTGGATCCAAGTTGATATGGGGTTATTAGCCAATTATAATACATGCCCAGAATTAGAATACTGATCTAGATAATTACATTACTCATCCCTCTTGTTTCTTCTGAGCAGCAGTTAGAGATCACTGGTTGGTTCACAGGAATAAGCAGGGTTAGTCTAAATTGAAGAAACAAACTTAAAGCCAACTGATGAGACTGGAATTTAATTACAAGTGTACCATGCTTTGTGAGAAGTAATTTCTCTCTACAGTTTTTCAATTTTTACCAAAGGCAAATCATGGTAAGACTGATTTGCTTTATTGTACTCAGCCTGATTGTTTGTATAAAGCGCAGCAAGAATTATTATTTTTCACATAAGCTCTTTTTAAAATTGGCTTTGATGGAACTCTGTTCCATAGAAGATATCTTAGATAAGACTTTTTTGGAGCTGACCCCAGCTATGGGTTTGTACTTTCAAATACTTATATGAGTTGAGTAAATTCCTCTCCTCTTGAGGTCCCATGATAAAATGGGGCTCCTGGACCTGTTAGAAAGTGACATTCTTGGGTCAGAAACCCTGAACAGAGATTGTGTAGGCAAGGTATGAGGCCAGTTTCCCAAGGGGCTTTTATTGGCTTTACAAATCAAATTTCATTCCTTAAAGGAAAGCATGTCATTCCAGCCCAAGCCTTGGAAAAATAACCAGCTTCTCCAATTGTGTCCTGTTGCAAAATAAAAAAGATTCCGGTTGCACTTATGCAAATAACTATATTGCCATAAGTTAACAATACTCACAGCTGGTTTCCAAATTCTAGAGAAATTAAATAGAGAGAAACAAATGTGTTCTAAATTTTGTTCACAGGAGTATGTGTTACTCAATTGCTAGAAGCTGTAATTGGCTTAGAGGAAAAGTTTCCTTGACTCGGAAAAACAAAACAAAGGGTCAGCAATGTTTTAAGCAAAAAGTTTAAAAGGTTACTTCAGTCTTCTTTAGCTTATGCAGTTAATTTTTGTTCTGTTGGTATTCATGAATATTTCAGGTCTCTATGAGAGTTCTTAAAGTTTTTTGCTTCATTCTGATGTTATAATCTCCGAAGTTACCAGAAACCTGCATTTAAGAACACCTGCTAGATTCCTATAGTTGCTTATAAACCACCTTCTAAAGACTGACAAAATGTTGTAGGGCAGCCACGGTCAACAACACAGTTGACAAAGAAATTTAGTTACTTCTGTGGCATACAAAAATTCACATAACAATTATAATTATTAATAACATACACTAAGTTAAATTACAATTACAGGAGTTTCCCGTAATTTTGGAACATATACCAGTAACACATTTAGACAAATGTAGCCCAAGGAAAACCAAGCACCATTTTATATTTAACAATGCTTCCTGTATGATTTTTGTTCCACTTAAGCCAAACTTCACTTTTACATTAGTGCATTATTGATGTCAAACCCACGTCTTAATACAACCTTATAGAAAAATGTATTCCATCTTAATCACATAAGATTTTAATAAACCTTTTATAATTCTTTACAAATTTTTATTAAAGAGATCATAAGCAGATTTTTGCTTTAAGAAAAACCTGTTGTCCTCTTATTCCAATGTTTAATTTGCTGAAAAACCAAATACTCCTTTATTAGCCAAAATGTTCATACACAGAATTTCTTTTACAATTAATTTTTTACAAACCTTCCAGAACTTGCTTAAACCTTCAACTTTATTCTAACTTAAAATAATTCTTTTTTTCTTTTTATTTATTTATTTTTTTAATATATATTTTATTGCATTTTAGGTTTGGGGGTACATGTGAAGAACATGCAAGATTGTTGCATATAAAATAATTCTTTAGCCCTTTAATTTAGGCAAGAAAAATCCACATTCTTGTGACTTCCTATAATCCTTTACCAAAAGTACATTCTACTGTGCTTACCTGCCTTGCGTGTAGAGCTGTCTTTTCAGTAGTCTCAAATACATGTTACACTCTCAACTCTTAGCAACTTTTGCTTTTGGTGAAAACGTTGGCAAGTAAGAGATTTTAATTATGTGCTAGATGTGGAGCCTAGAATCCAGACAGAAGTGCAGATAAGGTCTGACCCTTTCCAATGTTTAATTCCACGTCTCAGGCCTTACCTCTCTGTAAAGCAGGCAAGTTATACAGTTAAGAGTCATAATGGCATTTTATGATGCATTTAGGAAGCCCAATCACCTTTAAATTGTATAACATTTCTTGCATAAATTCCCTTTTATAAAGCAACCAGTCATTTTACTTTAAGGTAAGAATTTAGTGTACAAGATCCTTTCTTATATAAAATGTCTTTTCTTCATAACCTTCTTTACAAAGGTAGGGGGCATGGTTAATTCCACATGTCCCCAGGCCTTATGTAGAATCAAATGGGTTCAATGTACATTGAACAATTTTCAAAAGTCAAAGAAGCAGTTTATGACATTAAAGTATTTTGCAAACCTAATATCTGACCTGCATAATTTAAAACAAATATTTATTTTTTGGAAAACATCTTTATTTACCAATAATCTTTAAAATGTCTTTATTTCACAAAAATTACTTAAGTCACATGAATGAAATAAAAAGCATTTGACTTTTTACTTTTCCTAACAAAATGTTGGATTTAACCTCTTATTATTATTAAACCAATTAATCAAAGGTCTTTCACATATAAACATCACACACATAACACATATAAATACGCAGACAGAATAAGATAAAAGACTCATCCCCTAAGCCAGGAATTGAACTCGGGACCCAGGCAGTCATTTCAATGGTGGAGACCAAGAGAAAGTACTAACGTGGTTACAAGGTCAAGCTCCCAAGGACACACAACACAAGAGGGAAACCTCATCCAGTTTTTTTTTTTTTGTCTTTCTCTCTTTCTTTCTATCTTTCTCTCTCTTTCTTTCACTCTCTTTCTCTGTTTCTTTCTTTTGGAGCCTGCAGCAAAGTTTATAACTGACCAGTTTGCTGGGCCATCTTGAAGAGGAGGCTTACAGGTGTCCCAGGCCCACATTCTATCTTAAGGTACTCCTCTCCATTATAGAATACAGAAAGACACACAAAGCACACCAAAATAGCTGCAGTTTAAGACTAACCTCACAACTCCTTTTTTTTCCCATTAATCAAACCTTTACAGGAGACAGTGATTTTTACCATTCATTCAACCAGTTTGCACAGAGAAAAAGAGAGAGAAAGGAGAAAAAGAGAAGGAGAAAGAAGAAGAGGAGAAGAAAGAAGAAGAAGAACAAAAAGAAGAAGGAGGAGGACGAGGGGAGGAGGACGAGGAGAAAAGCATTTCCTGAGGCAGGGTGGGGAAGGCAAGCTGCTCACAGAGGTGAGAGAAAGATCCATCCTTTGCAGTGACACTGCTAAATTCAGGCGGCCACTTGTCGGTAGTAAAGGGATCTTTTCCAACAGTCCCATCAGCTCTCAAGTTTCCCCTTTTGGGGAGGAAAAAGTTCTCCATGTCCCACAATCCTGTACATGCCTAACTGTCACCCACAGCTATCACCAAATAGTACGCGACAGATTAATCCAAAGAGAATACCAGTTAACATCCTGTAATGCCAAACCCGTAAGGATTTTACTGAGAGGGGCCTTTAACCCTCTAAATCTTAGAAGTGACTCTAACCCTCTTAAATTGGGCTTCTATCCCAAGGTCTGTCAAGCCTTTTGTTAAGAGGGACCTTTAATCCACACCATTTTAGGAGAGACTCTAACTCCTCTCAGTTGGGCCTCTAACCTGATCCCATCCTTTACTCAGGTATATGCACCCCACTTACCCAAAGCCGTCCAATCATTGCTGCAGTCTACTTCCTTCGGGTCAGGAAGTTTCCTCAGTATCGTCCCTTTTGTGGTTCTCGAGAAAGCTGTTACCGACCCCACCACCTACCCAAACTTAGCCTTTGGGTCAAGAGTTTAGCACTAGAGTCCACTCTATCGTCACCAGAAAGATGTTACGGGAAAGGGTTCCCAATCCAGACCCCCAGAGAGGGTTCTTCGATCTCGTGCAAGAAAGAATTCAGGGAGAATCCATAGGGTAAAGTGAAAGTAAGTTTATTAAGAAAGTAAACAAATAAAAATGGCCACTCCATAGACAGAGCAGCCCCAAGGGCTGCTGGTTGTCCATTTTTATGGTTCTTTCTTGATGATATGCTGAACAAGGGGTGGGTTATTCATGCCTCCCCTTTTTAGACCATATAGGGTAACTTCCTGATGTTGCCATCGCATTTGTAAACTGTCATGGCCCCGGTGAGAGTGTAGCAGTGAGGACGATGAGAGGTCACTCTCATCAGAGAGGTCAATATTATTAATTTTTTTTGAGATGGAGTTTCACTCTGTCATCCAGGCTGGAGAGCACTGGCATGATCTCAGCTCACTGCAGCCTCCACCTCCCAGGTTCGAGTCATTCTCCTGCCTCAGCCTCCCAAGTAGCTGCAATTATAGGGGCACACAACCACACCCAGCTAATTTTTGTATTGTTAGTAGAGACGGGGTTTTACCATGTTGGCCAGGCTGGTCTCAAACTCCTGACCTTAGGTGATCCACCAGCCTTGGCCTTCCAAAGTGCTAGGATTACAGGCATGAGGCACCGCGCCTGGCCTATTAAATTCTTTACATATAGGAAATCAGAATTTAGACAACAGCATGTCCTATCTATGCCTACATGGCTTTGTAACTCTTCATTCAATATTCTAAGGATAACTAATCTATTTAGAGATCCCGATTTATGAGTTAGGGAAGCTCTGGCCTCTTCTTTAAGTGCTGGGACCAGTCTATAGTATGTGGCAGGTTTACATATTGTCCTATTGGTGTACAGGAGTTGAAATAAAAGTTTCTGGCAAATTGTCATTTTGCTTTTATGTAATCAATTGTTCTTGGTTTTGGTGAGTTTTAGCCAGCTTCTTTACTGCAGCTTGTTTCATCAGCAAGCTCTTTATGACCCATGTCTTGTGCCGACCTCCTATCTCATCCTTGACTTAGAATGCTTAACCATCTGGGAATGCAGCCCAGTAGGTCTCAGATTCATTTTACCCAGCTCCTATTCAAGATGGTGTTGCTCTGGTTCACACGCCTCTGACACTTAGTAAACTTCTGTATACAGTTACTGCACATATTTTGTTAGATATACCCAAATACTTCAGTTTTGGTTCTATTACAAATGCTATTTTTTAAAATGTCAAATGTTAATTTCCAGTTTTTCATTGCTGGTATACAGGAATGCAATTGACTTTTGAATATTGTCCTTGCATCCCCTTGTATCCTACAACTTTGCTAAACTCAGTTTTCATTTATAGAAATTTTCGTTTTCAGATTTATTATGATTTTTGTGTAGACAATCATGTCATTTGTGAATAAAGACAGAGTTATTTCTCCTTTTCTAATATGTATGTCTTTTATTTCTTTTTCTTACCTTACTGTACCTGTTAGGTCTTACTTCAAGTTAAAAAGTTGCTATTTTATTCAGGTCCCTGGGATCAATTTTCAAGAATACATTTTAAAAGTTTCAAGTGGTTACTTACTGGGTGACAATCTGATTATTCAAAGAGTCTCCAACATTTCTTAAAAGAATTTCCATTGTTGGCGATGGAGTCGGATTAAATCCATTGATATTCCTCAGTGAGGCAAGAAGTGACTATAAAATCTGTCCCCTGAATTAAAGAGGGGAAACTGGAAGTTTTGAGATGGTAGTGTGCTATGGCAGTGACATTGCATTTTTACACACATCAGTTAATACCTCAGAACATCTATTACTCCATTTGATGCTTGCAATAACTCAGAGAGGTCAATATTATTAATTTTTTTTGAGATGGAGTTTCACTCTGTCATCCAGGCTGGAGAGCACTGGCATGATCTCAGCTCACTGCAGCCTCCACCTCCCAGGTTCGAGTTATTCTCCTGCCTCAGCCTCCCAAGTAGCTGCAATTATAGGGGCACACAACCACACCCAGCTAATTTTTGTATTGTTAGTAGAGACGGGGTTTTACCATGTTGGCCAGGCTGGTCTCAAACTCCTGACCTTAGGTGATCCACCAGCCTTGGCCTTCCAAAGTGCTAAGATTACAGGCATGAGGCACCGCGCCTGGCCTATTAAATTCTTTACATATAGGAAATCAGAATTTAGACAACAGCATGTCCTATCTAAGCCTACATGGCTTTGTAACTCTTCATTCAATATTCTAAGGATAACTAATCTATTTAGAGATCCTGATTTATGAGTTAGGGAAGCTCTGGCCTCTTCTTTAAGTGCTGGGACCAGTCTATAGTATGTGGCAGTTTTACATATTGTCCTATTGGTGTACAGGAGTTGAAATAAAAGTTTCTGGCAAATTGTCATTTTGCTTTTATGTAATCAATTGCACACCAGGGGACTGTACTTTCTCTCACACCTTTCCCCTTTAAACATGACACTGTAAGTTCTGGATTCTTTGATAGCTGAACAGATAAATGATTTCCACTGTTATTTCCCTGCTCTGCCACTCTATAGTTCTGACTGCACAGAAAGTTCAAGGGCACAGAAGTGTTTATGATACATGAGGCTCTCAAACACAGAGTCTAGGGACTGCAGGGTTGGACTTGATCTTGCTAAAAGGCATAGAAAATGCCATAGTTAGTGTGTTCCACTTTCATTCAGGAAACCTCCAGATGCCCGCTGGGTTGGTCTGTGTATGATTGATGTCCTTTCTTCGGTGATATTGGCTTTAAATAGTAATCTAAGTTTGTCTCTTTTTTTGGCAAAACCTTCACAAATCCAACTTCTTTTGTATTCTGACTGCGTTTTTTTTTAACATTTAGGACAACACTTCTCACCGCTTTATAATAAAATATTTGTGTTTAAGTTTCTTCCCCCCCACTCCGCTATTAGGCTGTATGCTTTCTGAGGACCGGCTCCTTGTCTTATTGATCATTGTATCACCTATGTTGAGAACAAGACTTAGAACCAGAGTGAACACTGAATAAATAATTGCATAATGGAATTAAAGAGTTTTTTATTTGTTCTAGATGCACAGCAACAAAATATTTTTTAAAAGTTTTCTCATTACTAGACTTGTTTTTCTGATTAGTTAGGCAGAAATGGTATGTGAGACTTGGGTAGTAGGCAACTGTCGGCTATTTCTCTCGCTATCCTACAAGGAGAAGTAAAGTTGGCACTGGCCTTGTTGCCTCTCCAATGGAGTTGTCGGTTGTGGGGACAAATTTCTCACAACTCACTGGACCATATAGTCAAGGTGTTCCATGTGCCCACAGTGTGAAAGACAAGGTCTCTGCTCTCAAACAATTTGTAATCTTTATAGATAACAAGAAAATAGTCTAATAAACAAACAAACAAAACTACAATTATAGGCCGTTGTGATATGAAAGACATAAACAGGGTGGTGTGTTAGAGTGTGGTCGGGGAGAAGGGTGACTGCTTTGGAAAGAACTGTCAAGAAAGACATCTCTGAAGCCAAGACATTTGTCCTGAGATCTGAATGATCAGAAGACAAATACCAGCCACGTAAAGAGCTGAGAAAAGAGCACTCCAGGCAGAGGAAATCTGCAAGTGCAAAGATGCTAATGTGAGAAAGAACTTTACTTATTTGAGTAACAGAAAGGAGGCCAATATGACTGAGGTGAAAAGAAGAGAGGTATACAATGAGATTAGAAAACTGTCAGGGGCCAGATCCTAGGAGGCCACGCGTACCTCATGAGAAGGAATGGGAATAGTATTCTCAGTGTGATGGAAAGCCATGAATGGGTTTTAAGCAGAGAATGACATGATCTGATTTGTTTGGGAAATATCCCACTGTCTGGAGATTAGACACTTGGATGTGAAGAGCAAGAGAGGAAGCAGAAATATCAATTAGGAAGCTGATGACACCATCCATAGTGACTTGGACTACCCTGGTAGCAGTAAGGAAGGAGAGAGGTGAATGGATTCGGGGATATAATTTCAAGTAGGTTAACAAAACTTACTGATGCATTGTATATGAATTATTACAGAATAGAAAGAATCAAGGATAACTCATTGTTTTTTCTCTTTTAGCAACCGGAAGATTGATAGTGACGATGAGACATGAAAGACTGAGGAATAAGTAGACATTTGTTTGTGGAGTGGACAATCAGGAGCTTGGGCCATATTAAGTTCGAACTGTAGTAGACAATTATGTGGAGTTGTTGAGAATATAACAATCTGAAGTTCAGAGAAGGGGTGAAAGCTAGAGCTATAAATTTGGTATATGATTGATAGTTAAAGTCATATGCCTGGGTGAGATTTTTTAGGGATAAAGGATTTTTAGAAGAGAGTACCCATCAACATCGGGATCCTTCAACATTGGAAGGCTATGAAGAGGATGATAATAGCAAACAAATTGAGAAGAGATGGCTGATAGAGTATGAAGAAAATCAGAAGAACGTAATGTTTTGAATGCGGAGAGATGAATGTGTTTTAAGAAAATGAGTTTTTAAGACAAGAATAGGGAAGGG